TCTTTGGGCTGATGTCTTGCATAAATTTTGGAAAGTTCTCAACCATGATCTCTTCAAATATTTCTTCTGCTGCATTCTCTCCTCTACTTCAGGCACTTTAATTGTACTTTAGACCATTTGACATTGTCCTATAATGCTCAAATTCTTTGTTCCCTTCCCCTTTGTTGGCTTTTTATCTTCACATTTATGTTTTTTTTTTTTTTTTTGTCTTTTGTCTTTTTTCCGTGTCCGGCAACAGATCGCAACCCTCAGTGTTGCCCCCGTACCAGACCGGGGACCGGCAACGGGATTGCAAGCCTCGGCGCTGCTCCCGCGCCTCGCTCAGCCAGTGAGCGGGAACCGGTCTGTATGTGGGATCCGAACCCTTGGACGGGAGCGCCGCCGCGCTTCCCAAGCGGCGCACTATCCAGTGCGCCACCGGGCCGGCCCTACATTTATGTTTCAATAATTTCCATTAATTTGTTTTTAAGTTCACTGATCTTTCTCTTCACTGACTAGTCTACTTTTAAGCATTATCAAATGAATTATTCATTCACGTCATTGTGTTTTTTATTTATAACATTTCCATTTGATCCTTTTTTTAGTTTTATTTTGAAATTTCCTATCTGTTCACCTATATTATCCACCCTTTCCACTTTTTATCACAAATATTTTAAAATTCTTGTCTGATCATTTAAACATCAGAGTCATTTTATGTCTACTTCTGTTGATTGTTTTTGCTCTTGATTATTGTCCCATTTTCTTCCTTCTTTGTGTGTAATAATTTTTGTAATATAATGGGCATTGTACATAAAGGAACAGTAGTGCCTAAATATATAATATTTACCCTTAGAAGAGGACATGCTCCTTCTGTTAGACTCCTAGTATGGAGGGGTCTGAATCAATCTAATTTGTACTCCAGCTGTGTCTTTGCTTTGTTAAATCTTTAGTTAAATTCAATTTATCATCATTTTCAAATATTTTGAAGGTGGTATTAAGACTTTCCCTTCAGGGCCGGCCTAGTGGCGTGCTGGAGAGTGTGCCGCTTGGGAGCGCGACAGCGCTCCCGCCGAGGGTTCGGATCCCATGTGGATACTGGTTCCGCTCACTGGCTGAGCGCGGTGCGGGCGCAACACCGAGGGTTGCGATCCAGGGTTCGGATCCCATGTGGATACTGGTTCCGCTCACTGGCTGAGCGCGGTGCGGGCGCAACACCGAGGGTTGCGATCCAGGGTTCGGATCCCATGTGGATACTGGTTCCGCTCACTGGCTGAGCGCGGTGCGGGCGCAACACCGAGGGTTGCGATCCCATTGCCGGTCAGTAAAAAAAGACAAAAAGAAAAAAAAAATGACTTTCCCTTCAGAAGGGCTAGGATCTGAGCACTGGTGAGATCCAAAGATCCCCTATTCATTAAAGCTTGGCCACCATTTTTCAGAATTACAAGATTTCTCTCTCTACTTTAGGTCTGACCACCATATTTTGGGGTTGCTGGGGATTATCTTCCAGTCCTGCCTGCAGCTTTTTGCCCCAGTGTACATTTTGACAGAAATCTGGTCTGGGTTCCTCCAGAAACAGAAACTGAGATAGTATTTGAATGCAAATAGTTTACTTGGGAATTGATCTCAGGAAATACTGGTAGGAAATGGAGAGCTGAGATAGGGAATGGAAGGCAGCCAACAAATGTGGCTCAGCAAGCCAGTTAATTGGGCAACTAGAGCTCAGTCCTACTGAGAAGCTCTAGGAGATGGTATAGGACATGCTTCAGAGTTGTCCCCACTGAGAGACCAGGAGCTGAGGTATTGTCCACCAGCCATCAACGGTTGGTGGAGGGCTGCTCCCAGGAGCATCAACACATAGACCAAGTGTACTGGGCATGGAGAGAGAGTCAGGGAAAAATACCAAGCCAGGTACAGAGTTGCAGGTATTTGCAGTAAGCAGCCTTCAAGAACAGAGGAGAACACTAAGGGGTATAGATGGAACCCCAACAGTGAGCTATATAAGGATTTGTAAATTCAGAAACCTGAGTTTAACTAGCACCATATTTTCAACTCACTCCAGTGATGTCTTAGTGCCCCTCCTACCCCCACCCCCCCACAGATTGGAAGCCCGAGCAGGTGCCCATCTGTCCATCCCTTGCCCAAGCTCTAAATCTGGGTGTCATTTTATCCCCATTTTACAAATGAGGAAACCGAGGCTCAGAATAGGGGCTGAGCTAGCCCAAGAGCACAGCTAGTTAAAGGCAGGATTGGATTTTCAAACTCAGGTGTGTCTGACCCCAAAGTCCAAGGTCCTTTCTGGCTTATTGAAGAGAATCAGTGAATGAAGGGAAAGTATAGCTAAACAAGCAAGAGACCTGATCAAAGGATTTGGGATTATGTTTTATTGTTGGGTTTGGTGCCCTGAGAGCTCATGGAGCTCATGAGTTCCAGAACTGTGGAGCTTTGTAATGAGTTTTTAGAGGTCATATTCCTCCCCTCTTCAAAGTCTCACCTTCTCAGCAGGACATAGAAGACCCTGTGATCTGTCTCCATGCCAACTCTCTTTTCCCTAAAATGCCAGGCATGCTCCTGCCTCCCCACTACAATATTCTCTATTCCCTCAATCTTCTATTTTTCATCTGGGAAATCTTTCTTACTCCAAGCCTGCCTTTTCTGGGGAGCCTCCCCAGATTACTTCTTTCAGACATATTTGCTCCTTAACCAGACCAAGAGCACACTGTTTCTACCTCTGCAGAAAACAGACTCTGTTCCTCTTAGTGTCACTGTAAGTTGTTCACAAGCCCATCTCCCTCCCTTGGTTGAGTTCCTTGAAGGTGAGGTTGGGGCTCATGTGTTTCTAAAGCCTGTCCAGCACCTAGTATGGAGCCCACGCTTCCCCACTATGACTCCTTATATAATTTGCCATTGACATCCATCAACATCCTCCTCTATTCCTGAAGTCTTCTTATTGCAAGCACCTTTGACTTTGCACAGGAAGACTTTTTCCCCCTGACTTACCAGTGCTATGGTTTGAATGTGCACCCCCCTCCACACCACCAAAGTTCATGTGTTGGAAATGTAATCCCCATTGGAATGTTGTTGAGAGCTGGGACCTTTAAGAGGTGATTAGCTCATGAGGGTTCTGCCCTCATGAATGGATTAATGCTGTTATCGTGGGAGTGGGTTAGTTATTGTGGGAGTTCCGCCCCCTTTCTTTCCCAGTCTTGGGATCTCACTTCCTCTCTTGCCTTCCATCATGGGATGACCTGTGAGATGCTGGTGAAATGCTCTTAGGCTTCCCAGCCCCCAGAACCACGGGCCAAATAAACTTTTGTTCTTTATAAATTACCCAGTCCATGCTATTCTGTTACAGAATCAGAAAACAAACTAAGACACTCAGATTGTTTGGTCCACATGTTAGTGCTCATGGGAGCAGATGTCCACCAACCACCAATGGAGCTGGGAGATAGTACCCAGCTTTTGACCCCTCAGTAGGACAACTCTGAAGCATGTTCTACACCATCTCCCAGAGCTTCCCAGAAGGACTGAGTTCCAACAGTTGCCCACATTGGCCCCCCCCCAGGAGACACCAATAGATGTTTACTGAATTGTAGATCCCTAGAATTAAGAAGACAAATGTCATTTATTAAAAGATATAAGGCAAAGTCATTTCTCTCAATTTCTAGAACATCTGAGCACTTTTGAGCTGAGTTAATGTTGGTGCCATAGTCAGTAAAGTTGCTTACCAAAGAAATGGAGCCGTTGCTAAACCCAATAACCATCTTTCCTTCTTTCTGAACTGAGACTGCACAGGTAGATGTCTGTTCTTTGATACTGGATAAATGTTGCTTCCCCTGCAGTTTTCCCATAGCTGAGCTCCACAGACTGACCACACCATCCTTGGACACTGTCAGCAGCCTAGCCTGGGAAGCCAACACAGCTGTGCACATCCAGGGATCGGAGGCATCTCCCAGGATGTGGAAAACCAGCTCTGCAGTTTCCAGATTCCAAGCATTGATCTAATGGAATAATGAAGAAGAAGAGACATATCAGTGGGAGACCTAGACTGCAAGTTTTCCAGAGCCAAATGCGAGACCTGTTTTGTTTTTTTAAAAATAGTTTATACATTATATTTTCAACACTGTCAGTTCAGAAAAAAGCAGGGGAGGGGCAGATTCTGTACTGGATCCTGGAAAAACAGAAGGACATGTATGGAACAGTTGATAAAATCCAAATAAAGTCTGGGGTTTAGTTGATAGCAATCATCAATATTAGCATCTTAGTTATGACAAATGTCCTCATGTAAGATGTTGATATTAACAGAGGCTGGATGAAGGGTATATAGGAACTCTCTGTATGATCTTTTCGGTTCTTTCATAAATCTTAAATTGTTCCAAAATAAAAAGTTCTAAAAATAAAAAAATAGGTTAGCAGCATCGTATGCATTAACATATGGAGGAAAATGAAGGAAAACACCTGTTAAAGATGGAGGCACTCTTGCTCCCCTGTATTTTGCCTATCTCAGCAGGATGTGAATACGCCGTGTCAGCAAGATTTGGCAAGGCTTAACTGCAAACCACAGACTTCCTATTGAGTTGCCTAGGAGATGGGGAGGTGATGGGAGGGGGTTGCAGTTGGCTGAAATATATATAATACCTGCTTTTCCCCAATAAATTTGCTTAGTGTGTGCGCTAAGCCCCAGAACTTTGTGTCTGGTCTGTGGTTGACCACCTCCCCAGGCGGCAGCCCCTAGCTCAAGGGGCTGAGCAACTCACCTTCCTGCACTCTCTTGGAAGAGCTATGTGTGGCCCTGCTCCCTGAGAGACTCCTGGCAGAGGCTATGTGTAGTCCTGCCCCCCGAGATCCCCCAGGACCAAGAAAAAGGTGCAAACATATATGTTCACTACAAGTGATTATTGATTACAGCAGTTTTCATATTTGATTTCACGTCCCCAAAAGTATCTGTTTTTTTTTTTTTTTTAACCTTTTTGTCTTTTTTACTGACCGGCAACGGGATCGCAACCCTCGGTGTTGCGCCCGCACCGCGCTCAGCCAGTGAGCGGGAACCGGTCTCCACATGGGATCCGAACCCTCGGCGGGAGCGCCGCCGCACTCCCAAGCGGCGCACTCTCCAGTGCGTCACCAGGCTGGCCCCAAAAGTATCTGTTTATCAACAGTAATCATCTAAATTTTAAACAGTTGCCTACTAGCTCAACTTCTGGGGTTTACACTAAAGAAATAAGGAAAGATATAGGCAAATATACATGTATAAGGAAAGTTATTTCAGTTATTTGTATGAGCAAAGAACCAGAAACAACCTGCATGTCCAACAATAAGGGATTAGTTAAATAAACATTAGTGGAACCATACAAATAAATCGTATGCAATCACTAAGCATGATGTTTTTGAAGAATATTTAAGGTTATGGGCAAAATGCTCATGAGCTCATAAAATATTAAGTGGGAAAAATAACTTTGTAAAACTGCATATATGGTTTAATCCTAATTTTGTTACATATGCACACACCACATGTGATTTTAAATGTTTTCATTACACACCTTTAAAAAGGTAAAAAGAAACAGGTAAAACCAGTCTTAATAATATCTTTTATTTAACCCAAGATGTCCAAATGTTATCACTTCAAGGTGTCATCAATATAAAAATTACTAAGATAGTTTATATTATTTTTATTGTACTAAATCTTTTTAGTATGTCTAAACAGCCACAGTTCAAGTGTTCAATAGCCACATCTGGCTGGTGACTCCTGTATTGGATGGCACAGTTTATAAGCACCAATATTACTGTTAACAACCACCAATTACTAATGTCATATAATAGTGAATAGATACCAATCATATGGTGCTTACTACGTGCCAAGCACTATGCTGAGTGGTTTGCAGTCATTATCTTATGAAGTAGAAGAGGAAATGAGACCCTGAATGGGGAAGTGACATTACCAAGGTCACTCAGCTCCCAAGAAACTGAACAGGGAGTTAAACACAGATTTTCCCCCTGGTTTTAGCTACTAAGCTCTTAGCCACTATGCTGTTGTGTCTCCACTCATAAAACTATCAAATTATGGGCCGGCCCAGTGGCGCACTGCTACAATGTGCCGCTTGGGAGTGCGGCGGCGCTCCCGCCGAGGGTTCGGATCCCACATACAGACCGGTTCCCGCTCACTGGCTGAGCGAGGTGCGGACGCAACACCGAGGGTTGCGATCCCGTTGCCGGTCCTGGTCTGGTACGGGCGTGACACTGAGGGTTGCGATCCATTGCCGGACACGAAAAAAGACAAAAAGGAAAAAAAAAAACTATCAAATTATAGGGTTATGATTGACATAATGGAATGATACAGTGGAATATACATTGTTTTCAAAGTCCTTATCTTTTTTTTTGGTTTTTGTTTTTGCTATTATTTTTTTTTTATTGACGCATAATTGATTATACATACTTTGAGGGCACAGTGTTGACTATCATTATTTGTGTACAATATGTGAGGATCAAATCATTATTCAGATGTACATGTAACATTTACCAAAAGAGACGACAAAACAAATCTCAGTAAATTCCAAAAGATTCACATAATACAAAAGGAATTCAATTAGAAAAAAAAAAATAGCAGAACACTATCTGGGAGCTCCTCAAATATCTGGAAACAACAGCACACTTCTAAATAGCCCATCAATCAAATAAGAACATGAATCCTGGAAGCATTTTGAACTGAATGTAAATGTGAACACAGCATATCAAAATTTGTGGGATGTAGGTAAAGCAGTACTAAGAGGGAAATTTAGAGCCCTAGATGATTATATTAAAAAAGATGAAAGGTCTCACATCTGAGTCAGAAAGAACTATCAGGATCATCTAAACCAACTGTGAAGTCAAGTACCCCTGTTTACACTCACCCCCTCTTTTCAGGGAGCCCCTCCTTACAGATGCAGCCTACTCTCTTGGAAGGCTCTCGTCCCAGTTTTCCTTTACAAACAGACAAATTATTTCTTACCTTCGTGCCAGAAGTCGAATACACAACCTTATTTGCTTCATCCACATGAAGGCTCCAGATCTGAGGTTCTGTGGGACTTTTTGAACCTCCATCCCAAATGACAAATTTCTCCTGGCCGGAAAGTAAGTTCCATAAGCGCAGTGTGTGGTCCTTTGAGGCGGAGATGGCGAATGTCCCTTTGCCAAACACGTTCACACACCTCACCTCTCCTGCAGCAGGTCAGGGAGGGGGAAAGGATATTAGCTGGTAACACTTTGACCTTGTAACTACCAAAATGCCTGTTGGCTTGGAAATACCTTGGTGTAGGTGGGTTTTTGTTTGTTGCTTTGTTTTAAGATGGGTTTTTTTTTTTTGTTTGGTTTGGGTTTTTTGGCAGCTGGCCAGTACAAGTTTCCAAACCCATGACCTTGGTGTTATTACCAAGAAAAAGATGGCTGATTCAAACATATCCAAATTAGAAATAATGGAATGTGACAAAGCAAAAAGAGTGCCACAAATGGTTGAAATTCAATCAATTGCCCCAAACAAAGCTAATTGAATTTGGAGGAGGTGGAGGGGGAAGGGGAGTGGTTGGATAAGGGGCATAAAGAATAAGTATGATTTGTAACAATGAGGGGCTGGCCAGTTTCTCACTTGGTTAGAGCGTGGTGCTAATAACACCCAGGGCAAGGGTTCAGACTTGTATGAATACGCTAATAATAAATAAATAGATAGATACATAAATAAATAAATAGAAGAGACGGGGGGAAAAAAAGAGGTTATAATGGCTCTACCATACAGCCTAGATGTGTGATCGGCTCTAGGTTTACATACGTGCACCCTACGACATTCGCACAGTGAAGAAATCGCCTAAAGACACATTTCTGAGAACGTATCCCTGTTGTTAAGTGATGTGTGACTATATATACATTTTTTTCATATAAGTTTTGCAACTTCTTTTCTCTTCAAATAACACCATGTATTTTAGCTCTTTCCATATTATATATATATATATATATATAATTCATCTTAACAGTGATATTGAGATACTGTTACCATATAAATAGATATATTTAATCTGAAGGAATACAAACCAAATAGCCTGTGAGGGCTGTTAGAACACTGATAGGCTGGTAAATGTTCTAACAACTGGCACTCTACAGGGGTGGGAAAAGCCATGACTTGTAGGATTTGACAATGTCCATGGTGTAAACACTCCCACCATGGCTGATTTCAAGCCGCTAAAGTGATGTCACTGAACGTGGTGGGGTTGGGAAGAGATACTCAGTAGGACACTGTTTCCTCCATACAGACACAGTAGCCAAGAGCATAGATAATAGTCAGCTGTGGTAAAATAAGTAGAAAGTGATGAGTTTGGGGTATTTATTACCTTGTTTTAATATGATGTATTAACTGTAAACTTGATAATTTAATATTTAATAATGGCCGTGTTTGACAACTGGTCTTACAAAATTCCTAAAATTTTCACCATCGGCCAGCTCCAGCCTGCCACTAGGAGACAGGAAACTTTCACTTTCCACATCATATATATCTATAATACTTTCATTTTTTCCCGATAAATTGATTACTGATTTTTTCTGATCATAAACAATAATGGTTTGTTTACTTAAAAAAATATATATATATCAGCTGGCCAGTTAGCTCAGTTGGTTGGAGAGTGGTGTTATTACACCAAGGTCATGGGTTCAGATCCCCAAACTGGCTAGCCACCAAAAATAAATGAATCAATAAATAAATTAATAAATATCATCATTGGTAAATGGGGCCAGGTCATGAACTGATGGATCACACAAAAAGAAATACAAATATTGAACAGACCTATGGGAAAATAGCCATCCTGAGGAGAATAAAATGAATGGAGTCTGATTTGACAGATATTTTGTCATTACTCACCTCACCTCCACCCCCAAGAAAAAAAAATAGTAAAATAAAAACATCTAGGGCCGGCCCGGTGGCGCACTGGATAAGTGCGCCGCTTGGGAAGCGCGGCGGCGCTCCCGTCCGAGGGTTCGGATCCCACATACAGACCGGTTCCCGCTCACTGGTTGAGCGAGGCGCGGGAGCAACACCGAGGCTTGCGATCCCGTTGCCGGTCCCGGTCCGGTGCGGGGGCAACACTGAGGGTTGCGATCCGTTGCCGGACACGGAAAAAAGACAAAAAAATAAATAAATAAATAAATAAAATAAAAACATCTAATGCTGGGAGCTTTGGGGTTGGGGGATGTTTTAATTTGGGACGGCCTGTTTAGAAAGCAATGACACATCTCAAAAAACCCATAGAAATGTTCCTATGGTCCAGTTCAAAATTCCTACTCCTTGGAAATTTCTACAGAAGGAAAAAAATATTGATTGCAGTAAAAAGAGATTCATCTCAGCATTACCCATAATAGCAGATAACTAGAAATAGCCTAAATATAAAAAAAATATTAAAAACTGTTTAATCGATTCTGGAACACGACTGCTATGATCTGAATGTTTGTGTCCAACCCCCCCCCCATTCCTATCTAATCTCCAATGTGATTGTATTAGGAGGTGGGACCTCTGAGAGGTAATTATGTCATGAGAGTGGAACCCTCGTGAATGGGATCTGTGCCCTTGTGAAAGAGACCCCAGAGAGCTCCCTCACTGCACCCTCCCCACCATGTGAGGACACAGAGCGGAGATGCCATCTGTGAACCAGGAAGTGGGCCCTCACCGGTGCCTCGATCCTGAACTTCTCAGCCTCCAGAACTTAGAGAAATAAGTTTATAAGCTACCTGGTTTATGGTATTTTGTTATGGCAGCCCAAAAGGACAAAGACAGTGATCTTTTGGGAACAAGGAAATATTTTTGCTGCATTTAAGCATTATAAAAATACAGATTCAATGGATCATAGCAGCATTATTCAAAACAGCCAAAAGTTGAAAACAATGTAAATGTCCATCAGCTGATGAATGGATACACAAACTGTGGTCATTCATGCAATGGAATACCACTCGGCATTGAAAAGCAACAAATTATTGATACATGCAACAGTATGGATAAATCTCAAACACATTTTTCTAGTGAAAGAAGACAGATGCAAAAGACCATGTGCTGGGCCGGCCCGGTGGCGCACTGCTACAGTGCGCTGCTTGGGAAGCGTGGTAGCGCTCCCGCTGAGGGTTCGGATCCCACATACAGACCGGCTGCTCAGTGGCTGAGTGAGGTGCGGGAGCAACACCGAGGATTGCGATCCCGTTGCCGGTCACGAAAAAAGACAAAAAAAGGAAAAAAAAAAAAAAAAAAAAAAAAAGACCATGTGCTGTATGACTCCATTTAAGCAAAATATCCAGAGCAGGCAAATCCATAGAAACAGAAAGCAAATTAGTGGTTGCCTGGGGCTATGGGTGGGAGGGGGGATTAACTCAAAGGAGCATGAGGTTTCTTCTTGGGGAGACAGAAATGTTTTTTTTTTTCTTTTTTTAAAAGATGACCGGTAAGGGGATCTCAACCCTTGGCTTGGTGTTGTCAGCACCACGCTCAGCCAGTGAGCGAACCGGCCATCCCTATATAGGATCCGAACCCCGTGGCCTTGGTGTTATCAGCACCGCACTCTCCCGAGTGAGCCACGGGCCGGCCGGAGACAGAAATGTTTTAAACCTGGATAGCGGTGATGGTTGCATAACTGGGTAAATTAACTAAAAATCATTGTACTGTATATTTAAAACAGGTGAATTTTCTAGTACGTAAATTATACCTCAATAAAGTTGTTAAAAAAAATTCAATGGACACAAAAGAATGTTTATAGCAAAATGCTGAGAAAAATAGATTTAGAAAAATGGTGCCCATACTTAGATTGCAATGATATGATATTCTTAACATCTTTATCGAGTTATAATTCACAACCATAAAATTCACCCATTCAATGTACAATTACACGATCCAACAGTTTTTAGTATGTTCACAGAGTTGTACAATCATCGCCACAGACTAAGTTCAGAATATTGTCATAACCTCAAAAAGCAGTCACTCCCTCCCCTTTTTTTCTCATCATTGTAACCATTTCAAAGTGTCAATTCAGTGGCATTTAGCACATTCACGATGTTGTGCAACTGTGACCTCTAGTTCCAGAACATTCTCATCCTTCCAAAGGGAAACCCCATCCCCATGAGCAGTCACTCCCCACCCCACCCCCCACATCCTCTGGCAACCACCAATCTGCTGTCTGTCTCTATGGATTTGCCTGTTCTGGATATTTCATATCAATGGAATCATACGTTATGTGACTTTCAGTGACATTTTCTTTTATTTGATGTAATCTCCCGAGGTTCAGCCTCATGACTTCCTTGATGTTTCGTGGACTTGCCAGTCGTGTTTCCCTCTCAGGGCCTTTGCACTTGCTGCTTCCTGTGCCTGGGAGGCTCTTTCTCCTCCTCTGTGCTTCTCAAGCTTCTGCAGGGCCAGGACCAGGGTTAGACAAGTGAGGTACCCGTCTTAGGTGCAAATTTCAGGGGGTGCTAAACGACCGTGATTTTTCCTCTGGCCTCTGGCTCCAATACAGCACAGCATAATCACTGATCTCATCTTTATTTAAGACAGCTTGATATCATATTCATCTTGGATTTTATTTTGCATTATTTTTGATTTTTTAAAACATGGTATTAAAATATTCATCTTGCGGGCCGGCCCGGTGGCGCACTGCTACAGTGCACCGCTTGGGAGTGTGGCGGCGCTCCCGCCGAGGGTTCAGATCCCACATACAGACCGGCCGCTCACTGGCTGAGCGAGGTGCGGGCGCAACACCGAGGGTTGCGATCCCGTTGCCGGTCCCAGTCTGGTACGGGCGCGACACTGAGGGCTGCGATCCGTTGCCGGTCATGAAAAAAGACAAAAAGGAAAAAAAAAATTCGTCTTGCTAACCGAGCTTTTTAGGGCACGTCCTTAACTTAAAAAAAAATTGAACATGTCATATTTAATAGGAATTTAATTAAAAAAAATTTTTTGGGGGGGGAGACTGGCTGGTACAGGGATCCGAACCGTTGACCTTGGTGTTTTAACACTGGGTTCTAACCAACTGAGCGAACCAGCCAGCACATAATTCAACTTTTTAGACCTCATCCACTCTCCCACCCTTTTTTAATTAATTGAAGGGCTTGAATTTGATTATTTCTAGAGCTAATGTTCTGTGGTTTGATCCTGCTAAATTTATTTTTTAAACAAATAGGGTATTTAAACTTATTTATTCAACAACTATTGAGCATGTTAAAACATACCCCCTTATAATGTGTCAATAAAATTTAAAAACACACACACACATATATATAAAGATATACTCCCTCCCCTCAGAGAATAGCAATAGGAATTCACATTAACAAATAATTGCAAATCTTAAGTACTAATGATCTTAAGTACTAATGTGATCTGTGTACTATCAAGCTATAGCATAGCACTGGGAGACCAGTTATCAACTCTGCTTCAGGAATCATCTTTCCCAAAGAGATGACCTTTGAGATAAGTCTTTAAGGATGAATCATTTTCCGTCCTACTTCTGGCCTGGTCTGTTTCTCTTCAGCACCTAGAACAAGGACCTGGTACACAGGAGGCACTCAATAATCCATTGAATGAATGAACAGCACTCATCTGTTAAGGGGCTATGCAGAAATGAAAACCTTAGGTAGACAAACTGCAAAATGACCACAATTCTTTACCCTCCCTGATCTATATCCTTGGTAATGTGACTTTGCAGATCCTCTCATTGAGAGATGAAGACTATTTCCCTATTCATTGTTTCTGGACTGTTCTTGTGATTTTCTCTGGCCAATAGAATGTGACAGGGTACCAGCCCCAAGTCCAGGCCTTAAGAGATCTTGTGAGCTTCTATTTGCTTTCTTGAAACCCTGCCTTTTTTTTTTTTTCCTTTTTGTCTTTTTTTTCGTGACCGGCAATGGATCACAACCCTCAGTGTCGCGCCCGTACCGGACCAGGACCGGCAACGGGATCGCAACCCTCGGTGTTGCGCCCGCACCTCGCTCAGCCAGTGAGCGGCCGGTCTGTATGTGGGATCTGAACCCTCGGCGGGAGTGCCACCACGCTCCCAAGTGGTGCACTGTAGCAGTGCGCCACCGGGCCGGCCCTGAAACCCTGCCTTTGCTGGGACTAGTGTCCTGGAGGATGACAGACCACATGGAGCAGAGTTGAGTTGTCTTGGTAAAGAACATCCTGAACCAGCTGGCTCCCAGATGACCCAGTAACTGTGTGTGCACATGCAAGCTTGACCGAGACAAGAAGAACCACCCAGCTGAGCCCAGTCTAAATTGCCAACCCACAGAAGGTGAGCTAGGGAAACAGCTTGTTCGAGGCCACTGTGTTTGGGGTGGCTTGTTATGCAGCTCTAGCTAACTGATGCAAGAACAAAGATCAGGTTTCAATACAGAGAACAGAATCCATGGTGAAGAAGGGGCTCTGGGGAAAGACTTTGCTGTGGACACTAGGAAGAAGTTAACCATAACTCCACTCCCCGAGCCTTACCTGTATGTCCGGTTAGAACATGGATCACCTGCTGCTCTTTCATGTCCCACACCACAATGATGCCATCCTGGGTGCCAACTGCCAGCAGCTTCTCTTCCAGACCCCATGCCATGGCGGTGATGCCTGCAGCACACAGAGAAAATGGTGGTGACCTCAGCTCCTGTGTTTGAGTGTTCAGCCAGAAGGTCCTCAAATGAACGCCCACTTCACAGATAAGAAAACTGAGGTACAGACAGATTCAGTCCCTTGCTCAAAGCCACACATCTAGGAAGTGGTAGAGCTCCAGATTTCACAGCCAGTGCTGTCAGACACCAGATTTAGACTCTACACTGTGACATTACATTGCTCTTAGGTGGGAAAAGGGACCACACCACAACTTGGTTGTGTCTTTCTAGTCAGTGATTCTCACCTGGGGTGATTCTGCCCCCCAGGAGACACTGAACAATGGCTGGAGACATTTTTGAGTGCCACAACTGGGGATGAGGGTGTGTGGAGGCATCTGGTGGGTGGAGGCCAGGGACATTGCCCAATATCCTACAATACACAGGATGCTTCCATCCCAGAGAATGATCCAGCCCCAAATGTCAACAGTTCCAAGGTTAAGAAACCCTGCTAGGACTAGTTGGCTAGGACTCAGAAATGGAATTATATTGGCTGAGAATGAGGACCCTGCTTGTGAGCTCCACCTGCATGGAAAAATAAAGGCTGGGGTCCTAAAGAAAAGATATTTGCCAGTAGTTTGGGCAAACACAGCCCAAGGCTCTCTGCCAGGTGAACTTTGATGAAAACATCACTGAGGAGAGAGTGGCACCAACTTACACTGTGGAAAACACCAGCCCAGATATTTAAAAACCAGACTTTCTGAATGTCCTCGAGTCCTTTCTGAATGTCCTTTTTCTTCCCTTTGCCTTAGTTTGCCCATATGGAAAATGGTTGCGGGGGTATTGAATTAGAGCTGATCCAGCTCTGAGGATCCAGGATTTTGTTTTCATCTCATTGGAACAAAGAGTGAGAAGAAGAGATTTGTTTCTTGTCATACACTGTGTGACCTTAAAAATGTCAACTCAGGGCTGGCCAGATAGCTCCATTGGTTAGAGTGTGGTGTTATAACACCAAGGTCAAGTGTTCAGATCCCTGTAATGGCCAGCTGCTAAAAAAAAAAAAAAAAAAAAAAAAAAAAAAAAAAAAAAAAAAAAAAGAAAACCAAAGTTTTTTTAAAAAAGGGAAAAAAAAAAAAAAAAAGAAAACCAAAGTTTTTTTAAAAAAGGGAAAAAAAAAAAAAAAAAGAAAACCAAAGTTTTTTTAAAAAAGGGAAAAAAAAAAAAAAAAAGAAAACCAAAGTTTTTTTAAAAAAGGGAAAAAAAAAAAAAAAAAAAAAAAAAAAAAAAAAAAAAAAAGGTAACTCAAGCTTTTTTGAAAATGAGGAAACTGAAACTCAGAGTGGGCAGGATCTTTTTGAACTTCAACATGATTACAGGGTGTACCACAAGGCACAGTGGGTCTGAGACACAAAACACTTCTCTGCTCTAGAGATGACAAAACATCACTCCAACCTCAAACTTCCTCTGCCCATGCTGTGGCAGACATCACCAATCAATCACAGCACTATCTGTGATTTGTGCCCCTACAGCCATCCTATTATTCTTCCTTCTGTAATGAAGCCCAAAAGCCCACGGGTTTTTGCTGAGTACATGGTTACCCTTACAAAGGCCATATTTCCAGGCTCCTTTACAGTTGGAGATATCCAAGTTCTAGCCAACGAGAGCGGAGAAGAAATGGTAAGTTTTACTTCTAGGTCATGCCCTTAAAAAAGGCCTGCCATCCACTTCTTCCTACTTCCCACTGGCTGGAATGCCATCGTGATGGTAGGAGCTGCAGCAGTAATCTTGAGCCAATGAGAACAGACTCACTTTGAAAATGTCAGAGCAAACAGACTGAAGGGTCTGAGTCCCCAACACCCTGGGGACAACATTTTACCTCCGCTTATGCTTGAACTGTTACATGAGAAAGAAATGAACTCCTGGTTTATTTAAGCCACTTTGGCCCTTGTTACAACATCTGAGTCTCTATTGTAACAAATGCACACACTTTCCCACTAAACCAGCTTCAGTCTCAGAATCCTTGAGCCAGCATTCTAGTGGCTGCCCCTAAATCAGTCCCTCCAGGTGTTGTACTTAGCATGTCTTAGAATTTCTATTTTGGAAACATTGTGCCAGGGAGAATAGCTTTACCTATCAGGTCACGTGGTACAGAAAAAGCCTGAGTGGTAATAACTCTGACATTTGAACCATGAACTAATCATATTCAGTGGTCTCACAATGAATGTGAGAGGTTGTAGATGGACAGATAAGGGGATGGATGAATGAAGGTGGATGGGTGGATAAGCGGATAGACAGGAGGCTGTCTGGCTGGGTGGGTGGGTGAATGGTGGGTAGATGGATTAATCCATTTGCAGATGGTGGGCAAGTTGATGAATGGCTGAGTGTATGGATGCTTGGAGGGGTAAATGAGTGGATGGAAGATGCCAGATGAGGAAAATGGAAGGATAGGTGGGTAGAGGGGTGAATGGATGGACGGACAGATGGATGGAAGAAAAGATGGGTGACAAATGGAAGGCAAAACTAAAATCCTCTTCTCCACTGGACATTCTGGGTCCCAGGGGCAGTGTCCAGTTCCATCGGCCTCTCAAGGGCTGGTCAGGAATCAATTCCTAGCCTCCAGACTTACTAGCATGAGCCTGTAAATTGCAGGAACTCTGTAAGATGAGTGCTAAGCTCTTTGAGATGGGAACCTTGGAGGCATCCCCTAGCTTCACGCTCATTAGTAGTATTTACACTCAGTAGTCTACAGTCTCTGGGGGGCAGAGAGAGCCCTGTCAGCATGAGACAGCAGGGCAGGCTCTGATGACACCCTTGGGGACTCCAGACTGGCAGAAGGGAGTCCCAGAGAGCAGCCCCCAAACACCTGCCATCTGCTACCCCCAGGCAAGCGGGCCAAGCAGGATTTTTGCTATGCTGGAGAGACTCACCTTTGTGACAGCCAGTGAGGGTGGCCAGGAGGGGTCCTCCTGGGGGCTGGAGGAATCCTCCGAGGGGCACCAGCACAGGGTGTGGGCACACCCGGAACCAGCTCTGGGCCTGCTGGCACAGCTGTCCCACCAGTGCTGGATGAGAGGTGGCAAAGAAATGGAGTCTGGCCAGGAGTTCTGTGTACAGGATGCTCTTCTCTGCAACAAAGGGGATGCAGGTTAAGTTGCCTGGTTGAGTCTCCCCCACGCTGTTGAGCCCTTACCCCTGCAGGGGCTGCAAGAGAGAAGACACAACACCTCAGGTACTGACCCCTGCCATCCTCTCCTGCCCCACTCTCTGCTCTCCAGACACACTCACCATTACGTCAAGTGCACCAGGCAGTTTCCAGCCTCTAAGCCATCGCCCATGCTGTTCCCTCTGCCTGGAAGGCTTCCTGTTTCTCCCCCTCTCTGGTACCAATCATGTCTTCATCCTCATTTTAGCCCAAAGGTCACTTCTGCCGGAAGCATTCTCCAGCCCAATCCTCCAACCCCACCCCGCCAAGCCCAGGTTGTATCACACTTCAGATGTGACTTTGTTGTGGGTATTTATTTGACAGCCACAAGCCTGTATCACTACCCTAGACCTTTAACTTCCCAAGAACAGAGATGGTGTCTGCCTTGTTCGTGGCTATGTTCCTGGTGCCTAAAACACCATAGACGCTCAGTGAGTAGCTGTTAGGTAAATAATGCTCAATTCCCTGGCAATTCACAGTTACAGCGTATATTAGCTTCCTGTGGTTACTGTAACAAAACCATCTGGGTGGCTTCAAACAAGAGAACTTTATCTCTCACTGTTCTGGAGGCCAGAAGTCTGAGGTCAAGGTGTTGGCAGAGCTGCACGTCCTCCACATGCTCCAGACGAGGATCCTTCCCTGACTCCTCCAGCTCTGGTGGCTCCAGGAGATCCTTGGCTTGTGGCACATTGCTCCAGTCTCTGCCTCTGTCTTCATGTGTGTTCTTGTGTTTTCTCCTTTTCTGCCTCAAATCTCCCTCTGCCTCCTTCTTATATAAGGACACTTGTGATTGCATTTAGGGCCCAGTGGGGGATAATCCAGGACAATCTTCCCACCTCCAGACCTTTAACTTAATCAAATCTTTTGCCATCTGAGCTAACAGTCACAGGTTCCAAGGATTAGGAAGTAAATACATCTGTTGGGGATGAACAGTTTTTTCTGCCTACCACACAGAGGTATCATCATTCCAAGTTTATAAAATGGAAATCTGAGGCACAGAGAGGCTAAGCAACTTGCCCAAGGTCACACAGCCAGTAAGAGAAGGGAATAACCCCAAAAGTGTGATTCCAATGCTGAGTGGTGAAGACCAGGGACGCTGAAGTCAGACTGTTCATTCTGACCCTGTTTTTGGCACTTTCTAACTGTGGAGCCCAGGGCAATGTTGAGAATACACATTGCCTTGGCTTGCTGGTTGGTGAAATGGGGTGGAACTGGAGACCAGAGAGGAATGTTCCATTCACCGTGGGTGCTAAAGGTGGCACCATCAAGATAAATACTATTTTAATGCAATATTTTAAAAAATCAAAATTAATGCCCCCTAAAATCCATGACGCACAGTATATCAACCTTTTCCATAAAATCGGGATCGGGGGCCGGCCCGGTGGCGCACTGGAGAGTGTGCTGCTTGGGAGTGCGGCGGCGCTCCCGCCCAGGGTTCGGATCCCATGTGGAGACCAGTTCCCTCTCACTGGCTGAGCGCGGTGCGGGCGCGACACCGAGGGTTGCGATCCCGTTGCTGGTCCCCGGTACGGGCACGACACCGAGGGTTGCGATCCTGTTACCGGTCAGTAAAAAAGACAAAAAAAAGGAAAAAAAAAAAAAAATCGGGATCGGAGCAGGGGGTATAAGGGAAATCTCTGTACCTTCCACTCAATTTTGCTGTGAACCTAAAACTGCTCTGAGAAATAAAGTCTATTAAAAGAAGAAAACAGGATCAAAAGTGGCACCATGCTGGGTCATATTGGAGCCTGAAGCAAAAGGGGTAATCAGGGAGACTGATCCTGGTTATCTAGAATTTCCAAACTTGTGGCATGTGCGGCAATGTACCGACCCCACTGTTGTCCAACAGCGCTCTCTGGTGGTAGTATTTGTTCCTACACCTCCTCCTTGTGCTGCGGAGCCCCACGTTGTCAATCAAGGGGCTTTGCAAAGAAGATGCTGAGATATGGGCTTTTAAATCTTCCTTTAAACTGGGCAGCCAAGTGCAAGGCCATTTTTCCAGAAAGTCGCTTCGGTGAGATTTGCAACTCCTGGCGAGCAGCTGTTGTCATCGTTCTTTCCAGTTGCCTTAGATTCCCCTCACTGTTCACCATGCTGTTTCGCTTCTCTCTTTTGGGAAGTGAGAGAAGACTTAACCTTTCTTGGGCCACCATGGGAGCCACTACCGTGGCTGGAGTAATAGGCAGGTGGTCGACAGGGGTTGCATGAATGAATAAGAGAAGCGCCACTGATCCCACTTGGGTGGCATCCTACACATGTTTAGTTCAATACCATATTTTGCAGACACCAAAACCAGGACTCTGGGCAGAAATGGCTTGTCCAAGGCCGTTTACATGAACAATATTGATGTTATCATGTGACAGTAACAGGACCCTTGATAGCCCCCCCACACACACACAGGCTCTACATGAATTGATTTGCATACCCTTCCCAGCAGCCCAAGGTGAGAGGGTCGATCAGCACCCCCATTTTGCAGCTGGGAAAACTGAGGACTGTGGGGAGAGAGGTGGTGGTAGTAAGGAGCTTACAAGGTCACACTTGCCAGTAAGTGGCACAGCCAATATCTAAATCGACACGGTGAGGTTCAAAATCCACATTCTTGGCCAGGACTGGTCGATGATGCAGGAGCATGTGGATAATGCCCCTACCCTTACAGAGCTCTGAGTCTGGGGTGCCAGACAGATGATGCAAAAGAAAACCAAGGGAAATAATAATTAAGCATAAAGACAGATGGAAATGGGGTGCAGTGATAGAAAATGCAGGGGCAGGGGGCAAGAGACAAGGTGGTTTCAAGCTTCAGTGGTGGCCAGACAAGGCTTTTCTGAAGGGCAGCTCTTGGCTGAACTCCAAAGAGGCCTCGGAAGGATTAGGGAAGGCAAGTCCCAGTCCAGGGCTCCGGGAATGGCAGGTGCTGTGGCTGGGCCTGGACACACAAGATTGAGCATTTCCCTTGCTGTTTGGGGCAGAGAGGATGGAGACCAGCATCTCCCAGGAAAGTGGGTCATACAAGGCCATCTAGGCTGTGGTACTGGATGAGTCTTTACCCCAAGAGCAATGGAGAATCACCTAGAAGATTCAACAGGGAGCCACTTGGTGACATTTGAGCTTTCCAAAGGTTCTCCTGATTGCTGGGTGGAAAATGACCTAAGGGGTGAGAATGGAGGTGGGCAGATGGGGAGGATGCTTTGGCAAAGGTCTGGGGGAGGAGAGCTGTGCTGGTCCAGGGCTGGTGGCCGTGTGGAAAGAAGCAGATAGTTCAAGGATGTTCTGCAGAGCCAGGAATAGGAGCTCTGCACAGGAATCACAAGCCACTACCTGTCCTTTTTGCCATGCTATTCACACTCATGGGAGGGACTTTGGTAACAGGGACTTAAGCACCTTTAATATCCTCCTTCCTTTGTGTACTTGCTTCCCAATTTATTGCTCTTTGTTAAAATGGTATATTAGCCCCAGTTCTAACCACCTCCTTGGGTTTTCACTTTTTTTTCAGTACAGCTCCCATGCACATAAAGTTAAAATTTGTGTGCCTTTACTTCTGCTAATGTGTCTTTTGTTGGTTTAATTCACAGGCCCCAGTTACTGAACATAAAAGGGTAGAGGAAAAGTTGGTTTTTTTTCCCTCCCACAATTTGATTGTAAAATGGTGCAGTTGCTGTGGAGAACAATCTGGTGGTTCCTCAAAAATTAAACACAGATTTACCATATGATCCAGCAACTCCACTTCTGGGTACATACCCAAAGGAATTAAAAGCAGGGTCTCAAAGAGACATTTGTACACCCATGTTCATAGCAGAATTATTCACAATAGCCAAAAGGTAGAAACAACTTAAATGTCCAAAGACAGATGAATGGGTAAACACAATGTGGTGTATCCATGCAATGGAATATATTCAGCCTTACAAAGGAAATCCTGACACGTGCTACAACGTGGATGAACCTTGAGGACATTATGCTCAGTGAAATAAGTCAGACAGAAAAGGACAAATACCATATGATTCCACTTGCATGAGGTCCCTAGAGTTGTGAAATTCATAGAGACAGAAAGTAGAATACTGGGTGCTGGGGGGGGATAGAGGAGGGGATGCGGAGTTTGTTTAATGGGGGGAGAGCTTCAGTTTGGGAAGATGAAGAGGTTGTGCAGACGGACAGTGGTGATGGCTGCACAACAGTGTGAATGGACTTAATGCTGCTGAACTGTGCACACAAAATGGTTAAGATGGTAAATTTTAAGTTATGTGTACTTTGCTGTAATCAGAAAAACAAAACCAAAGCCAAACAAACAAAGCCCCATCCTGGGTGTTCAAGCTCTAGGCCAGAGTTGGTAAATGGTCCCAAGCACCGGACTCAGCCCAATTTGCCTGAGAGTTAAAAATAGTTTTTACAGACCCATCTGTGTGCAATGGATCAGATGACAGGAAACACCAACTGTGAACCCCAATGAAGCAAAATGTTGTCCCCTGAAAAAGAAATCCTTCTTTCTCATTAGTTGACCTGAGTTACAAAAACGTGTGCTCAACTATGATTATTATATTTTGAATTTCATTAATAAAAAAATGTGGGAACTTGTTTTTTCTCATTATGTAAATACCAGCTTAATTTCCTCTATTTTGCTTGAAATATTTCCTATCTGGCCTTTTCTAGAGAAAGGTGCCAGTCCAAGGCAAGGGGATGGGAACTGCTGTGGTAGTTTTTCCTCTAAAGCTCTCCTAGGTTCGATTCAAAATTCCAGAAGCAAAAAAAAAAAAAAAAAAAAAAGAAAGAAAACAGACAAAATTAAAAAATAAAAGTTCTAGAAGCAGTGCTGGGAGAAAACCTACAGGTTTAGACAGAAAAGGTGTGAGAGTTAACAAAAATCCAGCCCGCAGCTCAGTGTGGACAGCGGGTTTGTAAGTCAGTGCAGAGCGGACCCTCCCGGCCAGGGCAGCCGGACTCACCCATGCCCCGGAGCTCCACGGCGGGACGGCAGAGCTGGAGGGCTTCGCGGACCAGGCCGACCTCGGGAGAGTCCACGTGAGGGGTGCACAAGTCAAAGTCATCCAGCAGGCCTTCGATGCTGCTGGAGATGCCCCGGCAGGAAATCCAACTCATGCTGCCTGCGGGGCAGAAGGGGAGGGTATGGGAAGCACACACCTCTCCCCAGTCCATCCGGGGAGGTGGAGCACCACCTGTCCAATTCCCGCACAGGGTCTCAAGCTCGGCAGTGCTGACAGTGGGGGCTGGATCTTTCTCTGTGCTGGGGGCTGAACTGTGCATTGCAGGATATAGAGCAGCAACTTTGGCCTCCACCCACCAGATGCCAGCAGTACCCCTGTCCCCAAGTGTGACAATCAAAAATGTCTCCAGTCATTGCCAAGTGTCACCTGGGAGACAGAATCTCCTCTGATTGAGAATCACAGAGATGAGGGCTGGCCCGTGGCTCACTTGGGAGAGTGTGGTGATGGTGGCACCAAGGCCACAGATTTGGATCCTTATATTGGGATGGCCGGTTTGCTCACTTGGGAATAGAATTTTGCTGTAAAACCATCTGGGCCTTAGGTTTTTTGTGAGTGCATGAAAAATTTTAAACTACTGATATAATTTCTTTAATGACTTTAGGAATATTAAGACTTTTTGTTTTCTTGAATCTATCCATTTGTCACTTTTCTGCATTCTGGGTAATTTCTGCAGCTCCATTTTAGAATTTACTAATTTTCTCCCATCTGCTGTTAAACTCACCAAGTGAGGTCTGTTTCCAACAGTTTTTCATTTCGGAGGGTTCTGGTTTTCATCATGCCTTATTCTTTATAGTTTCTTTTTTTTTTTTTTTTGTCTTTTGTCTTTTTCCGTGTCCGGCAACGGATCGCAACCCTCAGTGTTGCCCCCGTACCGGACCGGGGACTGGCAACGGGATTGGAACCCTCGGTGTTGCCCCCGCGCCTCGCTCAGCCAGTGAGCGGGAACCGGTCTGTATGTGGGATCCGAACCCTTGGGTGGGAGCGCCGCTGCGCTTCCCAAGCGGCGCACTTATCCAGTGCGCCACCGGGCCAGCCCCCGGGTCATCTTTTTTTAAAAAAAAAAAAAAAGAGAGAGAGAATCACAGGGATGGATGGATGGACAGACAGATAGATGACTGGCTGGCTGGCTGAATAGACAGATGGGTGGATAGACAGATGGATGGATGGATGGATGGATGGATGGATGGATGGATGGATGGATGGATGGATGGATGGATGGATGGATGGATGTGGATGGATGGATGGATGGATGGATGGATGGATGGATGGATGGATGGATGGACGGATGGACAAATAGATAAAAGGATAGAAAAATAAACATACGGATGGGTGGATAGATATATAGTTAGATGGGTGGGTAGGTGGGTGGGTGGATGCATGAATACATAGATAGAACAATGAGTGGATAGACAGAAGGATGGATGGACGGATGGACAAATAGATAAATGGATAGATAAATAGCCATACGAATGGGCGGATGGATAGATAGATGGGTAGGTGGGTGGGTAGATGGATAGATAGACAGATAGACAGGCAGACAGACAGACGGGGTCTCTCTCATGCTCAGGCAGGGTTTCTCACCCTCTGCACTATAAACATCTAGGGCCAGATAATTCTGTCTGGAGACATCCCATGCACTGCACAGTATTGAGCGGCATGCCTGTCTCCAGACATCAGATTCCAGTAGCACCGCTTCCCTTAGTTGAGACAACCAAAAAGGTCTGCAGATGCTGCCAGGTGTCCCTGGGTACAGACTCGCCCCTTGTGAGAACCTCTGGCTTAAGAGGAAGCAAAGATTTCTACTCTGCCCTTCTCCCTTCCCAGGCTGCGGAAGGTGGGAGCGCGGTGGGGCAGCCGGATCTGCTCAGCCCCTCCGAGCTGGGGACAGCCTTACCCAAAACCTCCTGCTTCAGCTCCTCGATGCGGCCTGAGCGGAGCAGGTGATAGGGCAGCTCCTCCAGCTTCCGCAGGTTTGCGACTGTGTCTGAGAACCACAGGGGCTGAGGGGCCACCTGGCAGAGAGAGAGGAGGCTGGCAGCTGGAGCCAGAACACAACCTCATTCACTCACTCCACACACCAGACAGTGCTGGAGGGGACAGGGACACAGGGCAGACAGAGATACCCTGGTGGTCAGGGCTGGGATAGAGGGAGGTACTTGGGACTCAGGGAATCCCAGGTGGGAGGACACGACACTTCTGGGGGAATAAAGAAAGTTTCCTGAAGGTGGAGGCATTGGAGCTGGGCCTCAGAGGATAAGTAGAAATCTGTCTGGGAAAATGTGTCAGGAATCGATGGCATTCCAGGGCAAGGGAACAGCATGGGCAAAGGCCAGGAGGTGTGAGGAAGCAGGCTGAGAGTTTTCGTAGGCAGGGTAGGGGGGTGTGGTGGGGAATGAGACTAGAGAGGCTGTAAATAGCAGGTCATGAAGATACTGAATATCCGGCTGGGACATTGGACTCAAGATAGAGGGCGCTGGGGAGCTATGGGAGGTGTTAGAGGAGAGGCATGATCAGACTGGATTGTCAGAAGCATTTTGGGGGAAGACGGTCTCAGGCAAGAGGTTCTGACACTGAGAGAGCAGAAAGGTGGTCGGACCACATCCCAGAGGGAGGGGGTGGGGCTGAGCCTGCCGGGGCTCTGGACACACAGGAGACAGTCTGTGCATGGACAGGAGACTGTGCAGCATTGAGACCATCGAGCCTGGCCCCGCCTCTGGCCTCCCCAGTCCAACAGGGGAGACAAAGAAAATAGAAAAATTGGTTACAATCAAAGAATTAAAAATGTTCCTAGTTGTGATCATTGTGCTACGGTTATATAAGATTTTAACATCTGTGGGGAGAGAGTCCATGGGAACTCTCTGTACTCTCTTTGGCACTTTCCTATAAATCTTAAATTATTTCAAAATTAAAAAAAGAAAAAGTGTAGGTTCAGTCTCACAGCAAAGGGAGTGCAGAGAAAAAAAAACAAGTAATTGGGGCCAGCCCCATGGTTCACTTGGGAGAGTGCGGCACTGGTAGCACTGAGGCTGCAGGTTCGGATCCTATATAGGGATGGCCGGTGCGCTCACTGGCTGAGCGTGGTGCAGACCACACCATGCAGAGGGTTGCAATCCCCTTACCGGTCAAAAAAAAAAAAAAAAGTAATTGAGGAAGGAAATCCCAGAAGGCTTCCTGAAGGAGGGGGTATTTGAGCTGAGCCTTGGTGTGTTTGAGAAGCAAAAAACAAGGTCGTGACATCCAAGCTTAAGGATGTCAAGGTTTGGAGCTCCCGGACATGCAAGAAAAAGGACAGGGTGGAGGCTGCAGGTAGGGAGCAGGGGTCTCTGGCACCTCACCTTTCGGTCCAGGTTCAAGGGCTTCCCCACAAGCGGCAGGGTGATGAGTTTCTTAGTGCCCTGGCTCCAGGCTCCAGAGAAGAAGTCAGCCAAGATGCCATGCCTCTTGGCTCTCTCAGGCCCTGACAGGTAGCGCTCATGAACCACCTCGGCCAACTGTCTGCAGAGACGGGAAACAGGCTGATGAGCCCGAGGGACCCAGCGAGCTTAGAGGTGGCCACTGTCTTCCTGGAGGCAGTTCCCAAATGCCAGGCTGTCCTAAACCACCTTCGGGATGCTTGCTGTGTCTGTGGACCGCCTGCGCTATTTGTTACTTAATACTTATCTCTAAATCTGCCCATCTTTTTTTTTCTTTAAATAAATTTACATTAAAAAGGAACCTTTGGGTTCTTCAATAAGTTAAACATAAAATAAGTTAAACATGACCCAGCAATTCCACTCCTGGGTGTATACCCCAAAGAACTGAAAGATAGGTGTTCAAAAAAAAACTTGTACATGCATGTTCATAGCAGCACTATTCACAGCAGCCAGAAGGTGGAACAACCCAAGTGTCCATCAACAGATGAACAGAAAAAGAAATCGTGGTCCACCCATACAGTGGGATATTACTCAGCCATAAAAAAGGAGTGAAGTGCTGGCATGCGCTGCAACATGGATGCACCTTGAAAACATGATGTTGCGTGAGAGAAGCCAGACCCAAAAGGATGCACAGTGTATGATTCCATTGACGTGAAGTGTCCAGAACAGGCACATCGACAGAGACAGACAGCAGAGTGGTGGGTGCCAGGGGCTGGTGGAGGGAGTCGGCAGTGACTGCTGATGGGGACAGTGTTTGATTTTGGGATGATACAAATGTTCTAGAACTAGATAGAAGTGGTGGTTGCACAATGCTGTGAATGTACTAAATACTACTGAATCGTACACTTTAAAGGTGAGTCATATGTTATGTGAATTTCACCTCTGTTTAAAAAACAGGTTTGTCGTGTTAAAGTCACTGATGTGGAGACCCTGGAATTCTGTGCTAATTGGACTTGATTCCCTGGGAATGGGACGTGGAGAAGGACCTGGCACAAAGAGGAGCCCCATTAGCGGGTCCTCATTCTCAGGGTCCCACCCGGAGAGTGTCGTCACCGCCACTGCCTCCTGGACCTACCTGTGGGCAATGGCCAGGAGCGTGAAGCCGTCCACGGGCCGCCGGGCCAAGTAGTGACCCAGATCGCGACGCAGCCGCACCCACAGCAGGGGTGGGAAACGCAGCAGCTCCCTGCTGGGTGGGCTCCAGTCCTGGTACACAGCCTGCAGCACATCATCATCCAAGGACAAAACGTCCTTCAGCTCCGCCTCGGAGAGCCCGTGCCTGCAGGGAGGAGGTTGGGGTTTGGGGACACAGTCGTGTCCTTCTGCATTCGGAGGATGCAGAAGCCGAAAAGGGTGAGACAGCCACCGTCACAGCGTCCGACACATCGCCCTGACGATCAGCATTTGGACAGTGCCCAGCAGGTCCCCACTCCCAGTTACAATTGTACCCACCAAGGAACACCTTTTCTGATCTTTCCCTCTGCACGCGCACCTACAGAACCACGAACCGTGCGCTCCCCAGCCTCTGAGACAGGCGGCACGGGATGGAAGGAAGGTGTAACTCAAGACAGTAATGCAGAAGCCAGCTGCACCCACCTCAGCCCACCCTGTCTCCCTGCCCAAGAAAAGAGTTGGGCAGAGACAGGGAGTGTCTTTAAATAGGATGAGTGATTGAAGTTGTGTGATGCCCTTTACGTGAAATGTCCAGAACAGGCACATCCATAGAGACAGAAAGCAGATTGGTGGCCGCCAGGGGCTGGCGGAGGGGGATGGGAAGTGACTGCTGATGGGGACAAGGTTTCCTTTGGGAGTGATGAGAATATTCTGGAACTAGAATGAGGCGATGGTTGCACAACATTGTGAATGTGCTAAATATCACTGAATTGCACACTTTAAAATGGTCGATTTTATATTACATGGATGGCATCTCAATTAAAGGAACAAACTCACTTCTGGTAAAAATACAACAAGGAATCCTGAATCAGCTCTGGAAGCTGCAACCTCAGGACCTGTTCCCCTTTCTACCTCCGCATCCACGTAAGTCTCCAAACTCAGCAGAGGGGGGGCAGGGCAGTCTCCCCATTTGTCGGATGGAGAGACTGAGGTTTGCATGTTCATGCCCTTGAGTGACCCCAGGGGAGAGGAATCAAACCCTAGCTGTGCTCTTGAAGATTTTGCGACCCATGAAATCTAGAAGTATGATATCTCATACAGCAGCCACCTGTGGACATTTAAGGTTAAACTCTTTAAAAATTAATTCAATTTAAAATTCAGTGTCTGGGTTGTCTTTCAAGTGCTCAATTACCACATCTGGCTTGTAGTTACTATGATACAGAACATGTCCTCATGTAGATTTCTACTACAGGGTACCAGAGAGAGACTGGGGAATGTGCCCACGGTCACAGGTGAGCCACGGTCACTGGGTTGGAGCCCTTCTCCATCCCCAAAGACGTCGACAATGTGGACCCCAGGCCAGGCACCTGGCTTGCTCCACCCCCAGGGGACCCACCTGGTCTGTGTGTGCTCATGTGACCCTGCCTTGGATCCTAGCTGAGGGACCTTGGCAAGGGACATACCTCCTCCTTGCCTCAGTTTCTTCATCTGCATGATACACACTAGTTCTCCATACAGAGCTCTTATCCTGGGCCAGGTGAGCATGACCTTGTTTTCCCTTCCAGCAGTGCTAGGGGACAGATGGTCTCCCAACCAGCACCCCTGTGCAGAGGAGGGAGGGAGGCTCTGGGAGGGCACCGTGGATACTGAGGCAGTGGCTCTCAGCCTGCATCGTGGTGTGTTCTGTACATTGTAAGATGTTTAGCAGCATCCCTGGCCTCCACCCACTAGAGGCCAATAGCATGACAGACAGATAGATAGATAGATTGATGGATGGATAGAGTTGGGAGATAGAAAGAGATATATATAGAGAGAGAGATAGGTGATAAATAGGTTATAGGTAGATATGATAGATATAGATGAGAGATAGAGATAGGTTATAGATAACTAGAGCGATAGATGGATAGATAGATGGATGGAAGGACAGACAGATACACAGACGGATGGATGGATGGATGGATGGGTGGATGGGTGGATAAATAGATAGATGTGGATATACGAGGGTACTTCAGAAAGTTTATGGAAAGATTCATAATATCTTTGAATTCCATTTTTCCATGAACTTTTTGAAGTACCCTTGTATAGATATAGGGATGACAGGTAGAGATGGGAGACAGAGAGATCGAGAGATCAGTGTAGATAGATGTAGATGGTAGATACAGAGGCAGATAAGCAGAAGTAAACAGAACCGACAGACAGACAGACAGCCGGGGTCTCTCCCTCTGAGGCACTATCTCTCACCCTCTGCACTATCAGCATCTGGGGCTGGATTCTCCATGTCCTGGCTCTGAAGGGTGGTGAGTAGCATCCCTGGCTTCCACCTACTGGGGGATCCCAGAAACACCCTCCCCCCTCCGTTGTGACAATCAAACTGTCTCCGGATGTTACCAGGTGTCCCCTGGGGGCAGAACCACCCCGAGGTGAGGACCTCTAGCCTTGAAGGAACTTGGATCTGCTCCAAGAGCAAGACTCTCAACCACCCCGCCGCACCGACTCCTTGTGTAAGAGGAACATATTCTTATGGACCTAGAGGGACCAAAGTCATCTCCCTTACTATCACCCTCATAAACCAACTCCCCACCAGCCTCTAGGAGGGGCAGCCCTACATCCCATGAGACTCATGGCTTTACTGATTGGACCAGATGTGGGTCCTGGTAGAACACATCACTTCTATCTCCTGGATTTGGAATTGTTACTCAAAGAACAAACCAGAAGATGGAGCCTGGTCCCGAAATAGGAGCTCATGATGCCAGCTGAAGCTCGAGGCAAGCTGAAGATCCAGGAGGCAAACAGAAGCGTCTAGAAGAGAAGCCAATGTGCAAAGAGGACCCAGAGGGAGAGGGGATGAGAATAGGCCATGATTCTCGTGACTTTCCAGTTTCCATGACAACTTGCTTCCTCCATGTGGACTTCATCAGAGTGGACCGATGGGCCACCCCTCTATTCTGGAACATTCCCCAGTCTGTTTCTGTACTCTTGTGGAGTCTAGGAAAGTTGTGAAATCTGGGGTACAACATGAAGTCTGGGGTACCCCCTGAACTTGGCTATAAGGTGGCCCTGGATTTTCCCAACTTTCCCTTGGAATAAAGCTCTTATTTTTTTAAATACTAGCATGAGTGGGCTTCTATTGCTGTCAATCAAATGAAAAGACTCCCTTGTGGAACTGACCACTGCCACTTTGACCAATCTGTGGCTCCAGACAAAGGTCTGAAATGGCACAGACGAAGAAGGAAAATATTGCCCCCCAAAACTGAGAGGAGGTAAACTTCTGTCATCCAGCATTTCAGATGATGGGCTCGAGCACTTTCTGTTGGCCAGTTGCAGGAAAGGCAATGTTTTGTAGCTTGGTGTCCCTGCTAATTGGCCTCCACCTGGCCCTCCTGGGGAAGGGAGCTTGGCTGTTTGGGTGCTTCTGAGAACACCCTTCTCTCTGCTGCTCATTATTCCTGATCCCCCGTCTACACCCGCATCTCTGAGCAATGACTCTTAACCATTGCGACCCAGGTTTACAGCCCCAAGATTTTCATCCAGGTGAGCAATCCTGGAAGCAGCCCTTTTTATTTTTTAAAGTATTTATTTATTTCCCCAGCTTTACAGAGGTGTAACTGATACGTAAAAATGGCATCTATTCAAGGTGGGCAACACAGTGATTCAATGCACATATACGTAGCGTAATGACTACCACAATCAAAATTAATTAACACATGCATTACCACCCAGAGTCACATTGTGTTGTGTGTGTTTGTGTGTGTGTGTGTGTTTACGTGGGTGGTGAGGACACTTCAAATCTACTCTCTTAGCAAATTTCAAGTCAACAGTACAGTATTGTTAACTATAGTCACCATGCTATACATTAGATCCCCAAAACTGACTCATCTTATCATGGAAAGTTTGTATCCTTTAACCAATATCACCCCATTTCCCCCAACCCTAACCCCTGGCAACCACTGTTCTACTCTCTGCTTCTGTGAATTTGATTCTTCCTTTCTTTGACTCTATAAATACACTGGTATTGGATTTTCCTTTTTTTTTTTTTCCTTTTTGTCTTTTTTACTGACCGGTAATGGGATCGCAACCCTCAGTTTCGTGCCCGCACCGGGGACCGGCAATGGGATCGCAACCCTCGGTGTTGCGCCCACACCGCGCTCCCAAGCGGCGCACTCTCCAGTGCACCACCGGCCGGCCCTGGATTTTCCTTTTTGCTTTTTGCTGTTTCCCATGCTACAAGCTTGAAATTAAACTTAGACGTATCCTTACAGTCAATCCTTCAGAGAAGTTTGCTTTAAAAAGATTTTTTTCTGAAATCTCCCCACTTATGGCTTATCGATGACAGAGGGGATGTTGCAAATTTCCAGTGGAAAAAAAAATCTGTGCCCAAGATGGGTTGAGCATCACTCAGACCTGAATGCAATCATGAAACCAACATCATCCAACCAACCTACATGGAGGGACATATGACAATCTCCCCACCGGAAGCCGTGGTCCCTGGACCAGGAGCATCAGCCTCTCCGAGGAGCTTGGGAGAAATGCAAGATCCAGATCCCTGAGTCAGAATTGACATTCACAGACAAGACCCACGATGCATATAGCCATTAAGGGCTGAGGAGCACTGACCTACAAAATAACTTCAAGAAGACAAAGACAGGTGGTGGGGTCCCAGATTGAAGGAGATTGCAATAGACTGAATGCTTGTATCCTCCCAAAATTCACACGTTATAATCCTAACCCCCGAGATGATGGTATCAGGAGGTGGAGCCTTGGGAGCTGGTTAGGTCATGAGGATGGAGCCTTCAGGGGAGGGATTAGTGTCCTTACAGAAGAGACCCCAGAGAACCCCTCATCCATTCCGCCATATGAGGACACAGCAAGAAGACACCATCTAGGAACCAGGAAGAGGGTCCTCGCCAGAACCCGACCATGCTGGCACCCTGAGCTCTAACTTCCAGCCTCCAGAACTGAGAGAAAGAAATTTCTGTGGTCAATCAACCATCCAGTCTGTGGAACTTTGTTCAGCAGCCCGAACAGATTAAGGCAGAGATTTGACAATTTAACTGCAACTGTGAGATCCTGGATTAGGAGCAAAGGAAGAGCAGCTGTAAAGGACATTATGGAGGCAGTCGGAGAATTCTGAATATGAGCTGTGTATTAAATAGTACCATGTCTATGTTAATTTCTCACACTCTACAATTGTCCTGTGCTGATGTGGGATTCTGACTGTCCTTGTTCTTGGGAATTGTGCGAGGTATTTAAGGGTAAAGGGGAATGATGTCCACGATGAATTCTCAATTGGTTTGGGGAAAAATTATGTATAAGTCGGTGCGTGTGTGTGCGCGCGCGCGCGTGTGTGTGTGTGTGTGTGTGTGTGTGTAAATAGATAGATATGTGGATAGATAGATGATAGATATGTAGGTAGATGATAAATATGTTGATAGATGATATATAGATATGTTGATATGTACACATAGAAAGATATGTATATATGTATTTGTATATAGATGATAGATATGCAGGTAAGTGATAGATATGTTGATAGGTGATATATAGATATGTAATAGATAGATGATAGATACATATGTAGGTAGGTAGATAAGTAGATGCAGGAGAGACAGATGGAGGGAGAGAGACACAGTGAGAAAGAGAGAAAAAAAGCTAATGCAGCAAACTGGTGTCTCTGGGGTAAGGGTGGATGGCAGTAGTTTTTGACCAAGGACTATTCTGCCTGCAGAGGACACTTAGTAATGTCCTGACACATTTTTGGGTGTCACAGGTGGGAGCACTACTGGTATACAATGAGTGGAGGCAGGGACGCTGCTCGGCACACTACAGTGCACAGGACAGTCCCCACAGCCAGGAGCGATCAGCTGTAAATACCAGTAGTGCTGAGGCTGAGAAACCCTGGTGGATGGGAACACTTCACTACCTATTCTGTTTTTGCAATCATCTATACATTTGACATTATTTCAAAGTAAAAATTTTACAAATCCATAGAGACAGAAAGATTAGTGGTTTCCAGGGGCTGGGGGAGGGGAATGGGGAGTGGCTGCTAATGCAGATAGGGTTTCCTTTTGGGGTGATGAGAATGTTCTGGAACTAGGTAGAGGTGGTGGTTGCACAACACTGTGAATGCACTAAATGTCACTGGATTGTATACCATAAAAGAGTGAACTTTATGTTAAGTGAATTGTACTGGGTTGAATAGTGTCCTCCTAAAATCCATGCCCACCTGGAGCCTGTGCATGTGACCTCATTTGAAAGCAGTCTGTGGAGAAGTAATCAACTTAAGATGATGTCATTCTGAACAAGGGTGAGCCCTGATTCAATGAGTGCTATTCCCATAAGAGGGAAATTCAGATACACAGACTCACAGGGAGGAGAAGGCCATGTGAAGACAGAGGCAGAGATCGCAGTGTCACATCTACAAGCCCAGGATGGTCAGCAACACCAGAAACTGAGAAAAGCGTAGAGAATAGATTCTCCCCTGGAGCTTTCAGAGGCAGCCTGGCCCTGCTGACACCTTGACTTCCAGCCTCCAGAACTATGAGAGGATAAATTTCTGTTGTTCTAAGCCACCCAGTTGGTGATCTGTTACAGCAGCCCTAGAACGCAAATGCATGAGTTATATCTCAACTAAAAAAAAAAAATAGTTAAAACCAGAAACTTACCGGGAAGATGCAATGTAGCCCAGCACGTGGGCCACCAGGAGCTGCCCGTGTGTCTGCTCCAGGCGGGCGCAGAGCTGGTGTGTTGCTTCCTCGGCGGTGGTGGACAAAGGGGCTGGCATGGTGAAGGAGGCCCATTTCCGGGCCTCCTCAAAGGCCAGCCTCAGCCGCCCTGGGTGTCCACACTCTGGGAGGCTGGCCCAGAGTAGGTCCCTCTGCACCAGGCTCAGTGTCCTCCTTGCGGCCACCAGTAGCAGCTGGATCATCTCTTGCCCTTGATTTCCAGAGAGGGGCTTCACCTCCCAGTAGGCCCCTGGGTCTGTGAGCATCTGTCGCATTGTGTCTAAATCCCCCCGCTGCCCTGAGCTCACCGAGAGAATGAGGTGCACCCTTGGGGGGCACCTGCGAGGCAGCCAGGGGACCCTCCGAGTGTGGTGGATGGAGTCCAGGTCCTCTATGGAGTCCAGCAGGAGCACAAGGGTCTCAAAGTTTCTGTAGGAGACGGTGTGGAGGAGAGAGTGGAAAAACTGGACCACCCTAGTGTGGGCATCCAGAACCTGGACAGGGGGCAGGGGCAGCCCATAGGCCAAGCACACCTGGAAGCAAATGCTTTTGAGCAGCTTTCGGGAGTCCGAGCTCATCTGTGATGTCCCCAGCAGCCGCAGGACGGTCACTGTCTTGTGGCCGAGCAACCCCGGCATTTGCTCGGCCAGCTTGCACATCAGGGCTGTCTTCCCAATGCCCGGGGGTCCAAAGAGAACCTGGGGAGTGTGGGGGTTGCTGTCATTCTGCCTGAGCCGCTGCCCGAGCTGGGCCAGGAGCTCCTGGCGTCCACAGAAAGTCCGGGTGACCTCTGCACTCTGCCAAAGGTGGTGGCGGATCTCCTGATAGAGCCACTCCAACTCCTGTCTGGCTGCCTCCAGCTCTCGGAGGTGTTCGAGGACCTGGTGGTTGGCCCTGGCCACAAACTGCTCACCCAGTTCCTTCAGGTAGCGGGCATGAGCCTTGTTCTTGGGGTTCACCAGGTCACGGCTCCACGGCAGGTGGTGAGCTTTGAGAACTCCAGGCTGTGTCTCAGCAATGCGCCCCTTGAGACTTCTGAGAAGGTTCTGGGCATCGGTGTCCAGGCAGCCATCCACAAGTCGGTCTACCATCTTGAGGGCACAGTCTTCCAGGATGTGTTTGTTGAGGTCTTGGATCTCTCGCAGGAAGACAGTGGCTCCCTGGTCACCGTCTGCCGAGCTCAGCACGCCCCTCTCTATCTCCCACTCAATGACTGCAAAAGCAGAGGAGGCAGAAAGAAAGTGTGGTCATCATTGTGTCAGCAGCTGGCCTACATGGGGTCGCTGGGGAGACATTTTCCAGGGGTGGGGGTGGGGGAACATTGGTTCTCAAGCTTAACATGCATCAGAGTCACCTAGGGGACTCACAAAAACCCACATGGCTAGACCCCACCTCCAGAAGTTCTGATTTAGCAGATCTGGGTGTGGACCATGAATTTGCGTTTCCAATAGCTCCCAGGTGATGCTGAGGTTGCTGGTCTGGGGACCGCACCCAGAGTAGCACTGATTAAGCCGTTTGATTATCAAAGAACACAAAGACCCTGTGTGAGAAGCTACCCCATTGTAAAACAGTACTGTCATCCTCAGAAAGTTAGATGTGGAGTTACCACAGGACTCAGCAATTCTGCTCTTAGGTATCAGCCCAAAAGAACTGAAAACAGAGTCTCAAACAAATACTTGAACACCCTTGTTCATAGCAGCACTATTCATAATAGCTAAAAGGTAGAAATGACCCAAATGTTCATCAGCAGTGAATGGATAAACAAAACATGGTATATCCATACAATGGAATATTATGCAGCCATAAAAATGGAATAAGTACTGATATATGCTGCAATGTGGATGAACTTCAAAAATGTTATGCTGAGTGAAAGAAGCCAGACACAAAAGGTCACATATTGTGTAATTCCATTTATACACAATGTCCTGTATGTTCTGTCCATAGGGACAGAAAGAAAGCAGATTGGTGGTTGCCAGGGGCTGAAGGGAGGCGAGATAGAGAGTGACTGCTGATGGGGATGGAGTTTTCTTTCGGGGTGATGAGATTGTCCCGGGACTAGACAGAGGTGATGGTTGCACAACATAGTGAATGTGCTAAATGCCACAGAATTGTTGAAAATGGTGAATTTCATGCTATGTGAATTTCATCTCAATAAAAAAGCCAGTGCTGTCAGTTTTGAGTGTCTCATGCATTCATTCAACAAATGCTTACCGAGTTCCTGCTTGTGCCAGCCTCTACTCTCCACACAGGGGATCTAGCAGTGAGCAAAACACACAGAGTTCCCTGTCCTGATGGGGTGGACATTCTAATCTGATTGAATAAATGGACATATTCATGGACATGAATGTTGTAAATAAACAAGTTGTTTTTCCTAGGCAGAGAAGGGCAGATGAGGCATTTGGGGCTAAAAAAAAAAAAAAAAAAAAAAATCTGCAAAGGCACAGAGGCCAGAGAGAGACTTTTTAATGAGCTTGGAGGCTGGGTTCCCAGGGAGGTAGAAACCAACTCATTTCTTTCTGAGAGCAAGACTCAGCACATTTTTCTATAAAGTGCTAGAGTAAATATTTGAGGCTTTATGGGCCAGATGGTTTCTGTCACAACTACTCAACTTTGCTCTTGTAGCATGAAAGCAAATAGAGAACATGTAAAAAGAATGCACTTGCATATGTTCTAATAAAGCTTTATTTACAAAAACAAGCAGTGGGCCAGATTTGGTCTGTGAACCATAGTTTGCCAATCCCTGTCCCTGAGCATGCAGCAGCTGCCCCAAGAATCCATATTTTCCAGAGCCACGGGCCCACACTGACTTCTCCTTGGAGGCTTTGTTTTGAAATAGCAGTCAGATGTGAGGAGTTATTTTTGAAGCTTGGCTCAGTGAAGGCTCCCAGCTGAATGAGCCAGGCCCTTGGAGACAGGGCTCAACCTCCAAACCAAAGATAAGAGTCACTCAAAAGTCCTCTTTGGAGAGACTTCACATACCCCTTCTCGGCCCCATGGATGAAGGTCAAGGATGAAGGCAACTAATAGTCCCGAAGTGGGATTCTTCTTGGACACATTTCAGCACAAACCAACCCAAGACCATCTGCTCTGCCACCTGCTGGCTGTGTGACCTTGGGCCAGTCACTGCACGTCTCTGATCCTCTGTTTCCTCCCCTCTAATATGGGTGTACGAGTCCATCCTGATGGGGAGCTGTCGTGAGAATTTTTATGGAATAATGCTTGTGAAAAGCTGAGTATATTATGCAGAAAGAAAGAAAGCCAGTCTCAAAAGGTTAAGACTGTGTGATTCCACCCATCTTCTGTAACGTTGTTCAAATGAATTATTGAGATAGAGATGGACTAGTGGTTGCCAAGGGCTGGGGATTGGGTGAGGGGTGAGTGTGGTTATACGGGGGTAGCAGGAGGGACCCTTTTGACAAGGGAATGGTTCTATACCTTGATTGTTTTATAGGAAACTACATATATGACAAAACTGCACGGAATGAAATATATGCACATACATGCGCACACGAATTCGTGCCTGTAAAAGTGGTTCTCTCTGGATTGTAACAATGTCCATTTCTGAGTTGTAACATTGTACTCTCTTTTTGCAATGAGATGATGCTGGGGACACTGAGCCCCTAAATTCTGATTAATCTTCTTTCCCTTTGGGGGGAACCTGGGTGAAGATACAGAGAACCTCTCCATCCTATTTTTTGCAACCTCGTGTGAATCTCTAATTATTTCAAAATAAAAAGCTTTTTTTAAAAAAAATCTGCGCTAAGTGCCTAGAAAGTAATACGCCCTGAAGACACAGTCACTGACACGCCCCTGAGCTCAGCACTCATCTGTGCTTTATGCTAATTCTGAGGAGCTCCTATTGTTCATTGGAGTGGGACTGCTTATTGGGTGAGCTTGGACATGGTCTGATGAGATCAAATGAAGTCATGGCTGGGACAAGACCCTTTGCATCCCCATGTGACACCATGAGATACTCCCTCTGACCTGTTTCACTTTACAGACGAGGAAACTGAGGCTCTGAGCTGGCTCCAAGTCAATACAGCCAGAAAGGAGCAGGGCTGAGCTGCAAATCCCACCCTGCTCCAAAGCACAGACCCCAGATGCTGATTAGGGCCCCAGTCACAAAACAATTGGTACAATTTGGGGTCATGTCATAGAGCAAGCAATAGCAACATCTTAAGTGCTCGATTAACAGTAGCCACTAATATTATCATTCACATAAGCAGCGTATGCAAAATTGATAAGTCATGACAAGCCTTAGCCAAAGAAGGATGAAAGTTAACATCACCATGATGTCATGTGGGTATTGGATGCCCCTGGTATGATGGGATGAGAGGGTATTTCCCCTCTGTGATCTTCCTCCCCAAAACCTATAACCCCTCTTTAATTATGGCAAAATATCAGACACACCCAGATTGAGGGACATTCTGCAACAGGCCTGGCCAGACCTCTTGAAAAGTGTCAAGGTCACCAAAACCACAGAAGCTCTGAGAAACTGTCACACACCAGTGGACCAGAAAGAGACGTGAGGACTAAACACAGTGTAAGATCCTGGAACAGAAAGACATTCATGGGAAAACATGAAATCTGAATACCACCAGGAGTCTAGTTAATAGAAACATACCAATGTTAATTACCAGTATTGATGTCCTGGTTTTGGCAAATGTACCATGGTCACATAGGATGTAAACTTATGTGGGTGAAAGACATATGGGAACTAATAAAAAAGAAAAAGAAAGAACTATATACTATCTTTGTAGCTCTGCAAATTTGTAACTTCCCTGTAAATCTAAAATTATCCCAAAATAAATAGTTTATTTAAAAAAATAGATATGTTATTGCTAGAATTTGTATATAATAAACACGTTATATATGTGATATATTATATATATAATATATTAATGTATATAATTAATATATCATATTAATATATCACATTTTGGGCCGGCCCCATGGCTCACTCGGGAGAGTGCGGCGCTGGTAGTGCTGAGGCCGCAGGTTCGGATCCTATATAAGGATGGCCGGTGCGCTCACTGGCTGAGTGTGGTGCAGACAACACTGTACCGAGGGTTGCAATCCCCTTACGGGTCAGAAAAAAAAAAAAGTGTTTCTGATTATTTTTAAAGTGACTTGGTATTTTTTCATAAAAGTAATTTTCCTTTATATATTGAATTATTTTGAACATAAATTTTTATATGAGGTTAACAATTCTAGTATCTGAAGGTTTTGAATATCTAGTCTGCTCTATGTCTAATCTGCTGACATGGGCTTATAATGGTTTATTTCCTTGAATGTTCTATAATTTTGGATTTTTAAATTCAGTTTAGATAGGATTTTACTTGTGTGAATACTGAATGACCTGGGTTGGGTGCATTACACCCACTCCCATTAAGTGGTTTTCTGTTTTCTTCTGCCAGGAACCCCACTGATATATATATATCACATTTTATAATTTATTTATAGATTAATTGTATTGATCACATTTTAATAAAATTAAAACTCTATTCATATAATTACCTACATTCAATATCTTTAAATAAATCAATATATTTAATGTTGATAATATAAATTCATATATTGAATATGCTGATGATATAAATTTATATATTTAATATTTTGGGTCAATAAATTAACATACTAATTGTTCATATGCTGACATCTTACTAACTCATAAACAAGAAGAAAAACCTATTTCTTCCTGGCAGCAGGCAGTGGAGAAATGACTGGATCATGCTGCATTTTTAGAAAAATCTTTCTGCTCAGTTGGTTAGAGCACAGCCTTATAACACCAAGGTCACGGGTTCAGATCCCCGTACCAGCCAGCTGCCAAAAAAACAAAAACAAAGAAAAATCTTTCTGGTAGCCAGTGTGGGAGATAGGGGGGTGGGGCTGGTGCCTGCAGGTAGGTGAGGGGCACAGAAGTGGTTTTCAGGTGGGGGGACTCACGGGGATGGGAGCTGTCACTGGGAGATGAAGTCCCAACCAGCCAGGAGCTGTTGGGTGATAAATTCAGACAGTCCCAAGTTCCCATCTTTACTCGTCCCCTTGGGCAAACAAGTCTCCTCCTTCCTGTGCCTCAGTTTCCCCCCACAGGCAGGTGCAGCGAGGCCAGACGATTCACACTCAGAGGCAGTGTGCGAATAGTGCTCCTCAGCAGGGGCCGGCTCTTGGGCCAACATGGGGTGATCCACTCTTGCAGTTTGCCTGGGACTAACCAGGGATTAGCCCTGAAAATCTTCATGCTGGGGACCCAGGCAAACCAGGTGGGTGGTCACCCTAGCACACCTGTTGCCAGGAGCTTCTCTGGGAGAAGGGGAGAGAGAACTGAAGGAGAAGAGGAAGATTTTAAGAGAGCAAGGTCGACCACGGTTCCATAGCGTAGAGGTTGTCCCGTCTGGCTTACACGCAAGAGGTCCAGGGTTCGCAGCCCCAGTATGAACTCTGGGATGATTACCTGAGTCTTTGGCTGACTGGTTAGAGTGAGCGTGGTGCCAATAACACCAAGGTCAAGGGTACGGTCCTCATACCAGCCAGCTGCCAAAAGAAAGACTGAACCATGTTGGATCAGTAAAACAACCTTTTTTCAGAACCAGGGGTCAGGGAGCTAGGTTGGTTTGGCATTTGCAGAAATGCAGACTGCTGCACTGTTGGTGGCAGGGGATGCATATTCTGAACATCTGGTCACTTTCACATGGACCCCCAAGGGGAGTCCCTGAAGCCTCACCTGACCGGTGGTAGTGATGCCGCTGCTCCTGGGTGATGAGGCCCAGCCTGTGTGCCTGCTGGGCTCCAGAGCGTAGGACAGAGCTCAGGGTGGACTCCTCGGGCCCTCGGGCCTCCCCGGCCCCTGGTGCCTGCAGGACGTAGGCAGGAGGAACGGCGTTCTCGTCCCTCCGGAAGCGTCGTGCCACCAGCTCCAGGTCACGCGGCCTGGTGGTCAGCTGGGCCCTCAGCACCTCCCACTCCTTTTCCTCGATCAGCGGGGGGACCGGGCAGGGGCCATACTGGTCACCTACGAGAGCCTGGCAGAGAGGTGGACAGAAAGGGGAGCACAGATTCAAATCCTGACTGGGGCACTAGCTCTGTGACTACGAGTGAGGACACTGAGCCCCTAAACATGGGTCTGGTGGCAGTGGCATGGTGATAATTACATTAAGAAGCACAGGCAGAGATTGAGACCTGCACCTGCCCACGGAGGTACCTGAGAGCCCAGGACGTCAGACAGATAAGTTTTGATTTCGATCAAGCACCAAGTATCACTGAATCTTTTTCCTGGAAACCCCCCTGTGGTCACTGAATCATGGTCCCCAAAGATATCAAGTTTAATTCCTGGAACCCGTGAATGTACCTTATATGAAAAAAGGGTCTTTGCAGATGGGATTAAGTTAAGGATCTTGGGATGCGAAGAATATTTGAGAAAATATTTCAAATAATATTGGGATTATTTGAGTGGGCCCTAAATGTAACCACAAGCGTCCTTAATAAGAGACAGGCAGAGGGAGATTGGACACAGAAGAGACAAAGACAATAGAATGACGGAGAGAGGCTGGAGGGATGTGGCCACCGGCCAAATGCGTCACCTCAAAGGATTACTGACTAAATTAGAGGTACTTGAAAAATGGCAGGTGCAAAAAGGTCGCTCTGACCTTCATGCTGTTTCTTAAAAGCAGAAGATGAGATGCCCAAATGAATGGAATAAAATTTTCATCCTCAAGGATGACAAGACGAGACCAGAAGAATTCTGTTCAGAGCTTGTTAAAATAATTCTTTATCTTGTAAGCCTCCTTATGTAATTTAGTTGCTTCTTCACCATTTACTGTTCCTTGTCCAATTCAACGTGCAATTAACTTCCTTTCTTGGCGGGGGTGGGCAGCTGGCTGACAGGGGATCCTAACCCGTGACCTCGGTGTTACGAGGCTGCTCTCTAACCAACCGAGCTAACCGCTGGACGGTAGCTGATTCTAACTGCATCTTTAGGTCTTCATTTCCTTACGAGGGCTCCTGTGCCAGGTAAAAGGTAAATTAAATAAACTGGTACGCTTTTGTCCTGTTAATCAATCTCATGTCAATTTACTTTTCAGACTCATCTGGGACCGTAAAAGGACGGAGGTGGAGTTCGGCCACCCCTACCCCTAAAGCCTGGAGCCACCAGAAGCTGAAAGAGGCAATAAAATACCCAGTTCGTGGTGATTAGCTACAGCAGCCGTGGGAAACTCACGCATCCCGCATTTTACATGACAAACTGCTGTTCCTCATACACAGGCACTGGCATGTCCTGGGAACAGAGCTGTGACCAGCGCTAAGACCCGCTGGGGGCTGTGCAAATCTCATCCTGTTCCTGGGGGTGTGAGCCTCCCAGGTTGGGCAGGACTGTCCCCAACAGCAGCTAGGGATCAAGGCTAGATGGGGGTGGGGGGTGGGACATGGTTCACGCAAGTGCAGGACGGATCCCATCTTTATTTAGAATTTTGACATTTTGTTCTTTATGGATTTGGGGATTTGCTTTATTATCTTTTTAATTGCATTAAAATGTTATTTATCTCAATAACCGAGATCTTGGGCATTGCCTTAAATTCGGGGTAAGCTCCTTGCTCTTATTCTGGCCCCCTCAGGAAGCATCTGAGCTTCAGCAGGGCTCAGAGGACCCAAAGTTCAGCAGTCTCCTTTATAGATGTGGACGTGAAGGCCTGGGAATGGAGTGGAATTGGTTCAAGGTCATGGGGTGCTTGAAGGGCTGAACAGAGCGAGTGGGGAGATCGGATTCCAGCATAGAAGCTCTGTCTTCTGAGCTCAGTCATTGCACAAATATTTATGGAGCTCTAGCAAAGCGCCAAGCTCGTGACAACTGCTCAAGAGATAGCAGTGACTAAGACTGTCTCAGTCTCAGCCTTCCCAGACCTTGGAGTCTTCGTGGACCATATTGGAACCATACTGAACCATACTGGATCAGTAAAATAACTTTTTTCAGAACTGGGGGTCCCGGAGCTAGGTTGGTTTGGCATTTGCATAAATGCAGACTGGAGAGGCAGACATTAATCTGAGAATCAGACTAACGTGAAATTGCAGCTGTCAGAGTGCTAGGAAGAGAGGGTAAATGAGGGTCACATGGGTGGTGGCCTCAGGGAACCTCACCTGAGGAAGTGAGGGTGGAGCTGCAGAATAAGACATGAGAAGGAGTTCATGGGGCGGAACACCTTGCAGGCAGAGGGAATGGCATGTGCAAAGGTCCTGTGGCAGAAAGGAGAATGGCCAGTTCAGGGAAGCCAGGATGCCAGCAAGGACAGGGCAGTGAAGGGAGGTAAGGCCATTCTGTGGCCAACATTCTGTAGGACACGGTGAGGTCCTAACATTTTGGCCCAAATGCCCGGAGCAGCAGGAGGCCCCCTTTCTGCCTCAACACACTCAGAGCTGATGCAAACTGGAATGCAAAGAGTTAACTTGGAGGTGGTTTAGGACTTCAGGCTAGAGCCAAAGTCTTGTTTCCTCGTGATAAGATGGAAAGAATCATCCCTATCTTTTTTATTGGGTTGCTCCAGGATATTCCAGCAGCGTGCACCCAGGAAATATGGATAAATGCAATCTGTGTTGATGGGATCTTGAAGAGGACTCTGCTCTCCAGGGGTCCTTCCAGCAGCAGGAACAAGAGAAGTTGGAAAACCACAGACCAGAGGTTTTAGGAAGGAGACAGCCAGTAAAAAACGTTCCAGTGTGTGGGATCAGAGCAAGAGAAGTAGGAAGAGCTCCTGCCAGGAGCAACTCTTGGAGGTGCTGGAGCTGCTGAAGACCCAGGAGACAAGAGCCTCAAAAAGGAGCACCTGGGGACCTGGCTCCGGCTGCTGTGTTACCTAATGACTTATTTACCTGAGAGATGCCTCTCCACGGGCTCCCTGCACATCTCTGGTTTTCATGGTCCCCCAAATCCAAGCCATGGAGGAGAATGATGTTGTGAGTCTTGGGTGATGGGGGGTCAATGGCGGGCTCGAGAAGAAGCAGGAAGTAAGTAGAGGTCAGCTGGCCACAGGGCCTCTCTGGAGGGTCCCCTGGTTGGTCTGTTGGGCCTGGGGGAAGCTCGGAGATCATCCTCCGGTTCCCCATGCAACCTGGAAGCTGTGCTGTGCTTTTCCCTGCCTGCAATTCGGGTTGCAAAACCAAATTCCTCCTGGAGTTCTTTTTCTCCTCTGTCTCCCTGTTTTGTTTTTCCCTTAAAAAAAAAAAAAATAGCTGGGGGGCTGACTGGTTAAATCAGTTGGTTAGAGCACAGCTTTGTAACACGGAGGTGGAGTTCAGTTCCCCATACCGGCCAAAATAATCATTAGGTTCCTTTGGAACATTAAATTTAGAAAACTGGAAAAAATATTGTGAAGGAGATTTATGAGCAGAGAGCCTTCTATACGGTAGAACATATTTTAAAGCAGTAATAATTAAAACAGATATACAATCGAAATTACAATAAAAGAATGAACACACAGGCTCAACAGCATCTAAAACCTAATACCCAGTCAAGAAACTTCTCACATTCCTTGCCCAGCTCTTAGTTTTTTTGTCTTTTAAAGAAGCCTAATCTCTCTCCGTCTCTCTCCCTCTCCCTCTCTCTTTCTCTCCTTATCTTTCTTTCTTTCTTTTATTTATATGCTTATTATTTTAGCTCCCACTTATGAGTGAGAACATACAGTATTTCTCTTTCTGTGCCTGGCTTATTTCACTTAATATGATTTTCTCTAAGTTCATCCACATTGCTGTGAATGGCAATATTTCATTCTTTTTTATAGTTGAGTAATATTCCACTGTGTAAATACACCACATTGTCCTTATCCAGTCGTCTGATGATGGACATTTAGGTTGGTTCCAACACTTGGCTATTGTAAATAGAGCTGTGATGAACATGGGGGTGCAGATACCTCTTCTACATGATGATTTCCATTCCTTTGGGTTATACACCCAGCAGTGGGATTGCTGGATCGTACAGCAGTTCTATCTGTAGTTGTTTAAGGAATCTCCATACAGTTTAAGGAGACCTAATCTCTAAGTGCTGTTCAGTAGAACCTTCTGCAAAGCTGGGCGAGTTCTAATCTGTGCTGTCCCATACAGTGGACACTCACCATTACAATGTGGCTAGTGCACTCGAGGAACTGAAATTTTAATTCTATTTGACTTTAATTAATTTAAATGTAAATTGCCACGTGTGATTTGTGGCTACTGCATTGGACAGTACAATTCTAAGGCCAGATAACCCTCATCTACTTCTCTTTATTTCCTTAGAAAACAGCTTTTAGAATGGGAACCTCTCCCTTCTACCTGCTATCTTATTTTCAGGACAGGTTCTGGAGGATTTTTCCCTTTACTTGGAGCTGCTCAAATATTCTTTGTAAGGTGTGTTGGGCAAAGATTCTTCCTTTACTTTTTCTCTCTTTACTGTCTAGGACAGGGATTAGCAAACTATTTCTGGAAAAGGCCAGATAGTCAATATTTATGGTGTTGTGGGCCAGACAGTCTCTGTTGAAACAGCTTGGAGCTCTAAAGCAGTTCTAGACATTCTAGTTCATTCATGTGTAAATGAATGAGTGTGGGTGTGTGTTAATAAAGCTTTATTTACCAAAAACAAGCAGCGGGCCAGATTTGCCCCACCAGTTCTAGTTTGCTGGCCCCTGCTTTAGGATTCATGATGCAAAATGTCATAGTTCTTGGATATATCTGGAATATGGTGGTGTAATAAATTCAGACTCTGGGATATCATTCTTTGGTAACAGTCCAAACCGAGAACTGTGGACTGGGGTTCATTTTCGTGTTAGAGGGGATGCAGTTGGGAGGGGGGAAAAGAGGGGCACTCAGAGGAAAAAAATTTTCCAAGACCTTGTGGGTTTCCACCTTCTTTATGCTTTTCCAAGATCCCAAAGTGGATGATGGGATGGAGAAGATGGGGGAGGGTTCAGATCAAATTCTAAGATTCCTTCTAGTATCAACGTTCTACTCTCCAGCTCCTCTGCTGTGTCCATTTGACTGCTAATGTCTGGATCTCAGCTAGCTCTGCAGAGAAAGAATGCTGTGCTCCATTAGCAATGTCTGCCATGGGCAGGCTATAGGGATAGGGTCTGGTAGCAGGAACACCACCCACTTCCCTCTAGTGACTGGTCAGCTAGGGAACAGGGCACATTTCTGGTGACAGCAGGAGAAATAAGAGCTAACCCATCCCTCCTGAGAGACTCACAACAAAAGCGGGCCCTATGGATGTTTTGCGACACCGGTCGAGCTCCTCCAAGCAGAGTTCCGTGGTCATGTGGTCAGTGGCCTCCGTGTTCCGAATACCCCACCTCAGATCAACGACCTTGGGATTACAAGTGAGGGTTTGTCAGGGAGGTGGCATGGTGGGTGATTTTTTTTTTTTTCAATTCCCTTTGACAAAAAGCTCTTTCTTTCAATCATTTTTGACAGCCTTTCCCTCTCAGGGCATGTCTAGATTGAAAGAACTAGAACGGGGCTGGCCAGTTTAGCTCACTTGGGAGAGCACAGAGCTGAAAACACCAAGGTCAAGGGTTTGGATCCCTGTACCTCCAGCCGCTCCCCAAAAAGAACTTGAATGAAACCCATAACCTCAGTGTAATCATGAGAAAAACATCAGACAGACCCAGATTTGGGGGGAAGGGCATTCTGTACAACGCCCTGCCAGTCCTTCCTAAGACTGCCAAGGTCATGAGCAACAAGGAGACTGAGAAACTGTCCCAGACCAGAGGAGACTGGAGCAATGTGACAACCACATGCAATGGGATACCCTGGATGGGACCCTCCACCAGAAAGAGGACTTGAACTGGCAACATCCAGATAAAGTCTGGGGCTTGGTTAATAGTAATACACCACGCGGATTCGACAGTTGTAATAAATACTACAACTATGGTAACATAGTTCTTCTCTGTACGCGGTTAGGTAAGATGTTGACAATGGGAGAAACTGGGTGCAGGGTGTATGGGAACTCTCTGTACTGTCTGTGCAAATTTCCTGTGCATCTAAATTTCAAATCAAAAGTTTGTTTAAAAACAACATTTGAAAAACTTTAAAAAGAAGAGGAACTCAGGCATTTTCAAATTGTTCCTTTTTAAGCAAGGACATGTCCATGCTTGTTTGCAGACCTATTTTTTTTTTTTGCAAAGGAGGGTGTTTAGTTTGGCCAGAATTGGACTCAGCAAAGTCTCCTTGACAACCACATGCCTGCGGTCCCTTTTCGCTTGCTGGCCAGAGGGGAGTCCAGCAGAAAGGCTCACCAGAGCAGGCCATGTTGAGCCTGGAGAAAGCTGGGGTGAGGGGCAGATGGTGGGACCCGGACTTGGAACAGCCCCTCCCTACGAGAAAACACATAAATCCGAACGAGCTACAACACAGGGTGAAAGGCCCACAGTACTGAATGTGACTGGAGGAAGAAAGGGGGAGGGACAATTAGTTGTGGCACAGGGAAGGAAAAAGGGTCAGGGACCAGCCTCAGGCAAGAGCTTCGCCTCTGGACCTCGGTCTCCCCATCTGCATGCTGAGGATGTTTACATCTTCCTCATAGCACCAGAGGGGACAGTAAAGAGGAGAGCACGGCCCCGTTCCCAGCTGCTGGTGCATACGCTTTCCTCTTTGGCACCTCTGACATTGAACTCTGTCTCCTGATCAATGGCAGGTGGAGCAAAATTCCCAGCGCTGCTTCTTTCTTAGGAATGTATACACAATGGTGCTGCTGCTTCTTTTTTTTTTTTTTTTAAGATGACCAGGAAGGGGATCTTAACCCTTGACTTGGTGTTGTCAGCACCACGCTCTCCCAGGTGAGCAACCGGCCATCCCTATATAGGGTTCTGAACCTGTGGCCTTGATCCCCGTACCGGCTGGCTACCAAAAAAAAAAAAAAAAAAAAAAGG